GAATGTAGAATATCCTACCCTAAGTGTAAAGTTAGGGGAGGTGTAAAGAGGTCTAATGCTTAGTAAGAGTATGCAGTTTCCACTTTCTTTGGAAACTTTATTTTCCTTCTATAAAATGGTATACAACACATACACACACACATGCATGTAAATGCAAATATACATATACACCAGTTTGCAAAACAGACATATAGCACTTTTGCAGTAGATCTTATTTTAGTTTGGAAGTTTTCCTTGGAACACGCTACCATAGTCCTGTACCAGCTGACTTCCACCCACCTTTTTTTGCCCGGTGGCTTTCTCTTGCCACCAAAGTGTGTTCTGCCACCCTCAGCAGGTAGGACATGTATGGTGATATATGCGCCCTTCTCTCAGCCGCTCTCAACCAATGACCAACAGGAGTTGATGTAAGGGCTTCAGCTCCCCTAACCCTTGAGTAGGGTAACTCAGAGCAGTGTGTTCTATTTTGGCTGCCAGAGTCTCTCCAGTGGAAGGAGGCTCCACTCACTCACAATGGCAGCTGGCTTTACTGGTTTCCCTGTCTTAATTCCAGACTCCTGTACTGATAAGTCCTTCACCTCCCGAATATTTTCACTCAAATCCTTATTCAGGGATGGCCTCTGCATCTGGAAGAACCCAGACTAAGATACATGTAAAGCCTGTTATTTTTAAACTACTAACTCTGAAATACTTATAATTTCAACTTAATACTTAGATCCACAGTATAAAAACTTTGCCAACGCAAACCTTTTTTATTGTGGTTCAATATGATATTCAAATACTTACAATGATCTACACCCATAACAGATGAACTAAAAATGTTGATATAAAATGTAGGCATATGTTTACATTAATAGTAGACCAGCCTACTTAAAATACTGAGTTCACCATCAGTGTTGTGAGTTAAACTGTGTTTTAATAATTGTGATGCTATCCTTTAATATTTTTAAAGAAGTCACCAAAACAGTAGGAAATGTTTCTGCCTGATATTTATTGAAACTCTGCTGATAGCAGTTCATCAATCTGTTAATCTTCTGGCATCCACCCACAAGTAGAAAAGGTACAGTCAAAACATTTTCCTTCATTTTTTCATAGACTTCTTTGTGTCTGTTGGTTACCATATCTATCAACTATCTAGGAAAATGACTCTTCTCACGGCTCAATCAGAGCCTCATCTAAAATTCAGCAGAAATCTAAAAACTTAAAACTGCCATCCCCATTCCTGTTTCCATGGGAATAGACTTCAGATCAAGAAAAAAAAAAAAAAGGATAGGGTTAGGAGCTTTTAAGTAATCATTCAAAATCATGATGAGGTTTTTAGAGCTTCTTTCTTAGGTGATTATTTTATAGCCTCTTAACCCCCTTTTGCCAGTATGTTTCCATGGAAATCTACAAAAACAACTGTCTGAGCCTCCAAGAGAGATTATTAACATTTTTGTGAATTTCAGCATTGGCTGTAGCCTAGGCTGAGCAAGATTTTTTTTTCCTATCAGTTTTATATACTTACCTACACTGTTTCAACTTATTGTAA